TTCTCTCTCTATCTCTCTCTCTCTCTGTCTCTCTCTCTCTCTCTCTCTCCATCCATCACTTCACTCCACTGCTGAAGGGACGATGGCTACGGCATAACCATGATGGTGGAGGCGACGTTAATAAAGGGATGGTTATGGAGGCATGAGGCGACGACAACTATGGTGGTGGAGGTCTGATCTACGGCGGACGGTGGCGGCTATGACGGCTAGGTTTTAATTTGGTCGACGGCTAGTGTTTAATTTGGTCGACAATTATGGCGGCTAGGGTTTAATTTGGTCGATGGCTAGGGTTTAATTTGGTTGGCGGCTACGGTTGGTGGACGACTAGGTTTTTGCAGGTAGGGTATGATTTAATTTGGTCGAAAGATAGGGTTTAATTTAGTCAATGGTTAGGATTTAATTTGGTCGGCGGCTAGGGTTGGTGGACGACTAGGTTTTTGTAGGTAGGGTTTGGCGGCGGCTGAAATTTGTTGGTTGCTATGTGTTAACGGTGGCTGGAAGACGTTGGAAGTTAGGGTTTGACGGCGGCTGAGAGTTGGTGAACGATAGAGTTCGGAATAGTACACCATAATATATCGTAGTATACCATAGCATACCATAGTATTATTTTTAAATCTGCTGTATTATTTGACAAAAACGGAACTACATGTGTCTGCAGATGTCTATGACCGGATTTTTTTTTTTTTTTAAATCATAATTTTCAATACTATGTAGAAAAAAAAAAGATTCTTATAGTAATGAAAAAAAACAAAAAGAGAAATGTATTCCACGTAAAAAAAATCAAATAACAAAAATGGTAGTTGCAATTAAAAATGTTAAATAATACCATAGTACACCATAGTACATCATAGAATATTTACAATCTGATGTAATTTCGAATTTGTGACTAGAGGGACATTTTTGGAATAAATTTTGATAAAGAATGTAAAATAAATTTTAGTTAGGCTTGTGAGTTAGTTCTAATAAAGTTTGTCGCTAGAAACTTAGGGGATGTTTGTTTTTATTTCCAAAACCCATTTCCAGTTTTATACTATTCATAAAACCGAGATCATGTTTGTTTGATAATTTTATCCAGAAAATCTCATTTTTTCTTATCAAATTTATATTGGAAATACACTATTCATACTTTTCTCAATTTCCAAACCTACTAAAACCTACTAACTAACCTATATATTTTATTCCACCAACTCATTTCTCTCTCCTCATTAATATTTACACTATCTCTCCTCTCATTTCTCTCTCCTCATTAATATCTACACTCTCTCTCCTCCCAATTTCTCTTTCTTCCAATAATAATAATAATAATAATAATAATAATAATAATAATAATAATAATAATAATAATAATAATCACTATCATCATCCTCAATCATTATATTTTACTTTTGCACGTACTTTCGTAGAAAAAATTCACCACAACCAAACATATTTCCATTTCTACACCTACATAAAATTAAAAATACCCCTTCATCCAAGCATATTCTCATTTTCTACACAAAAACCAATAATCTACTTTTTCCATCAGAAATTTTGAAAACTAGAAATTCCCATTAGAAATATAACCAAACATCCCCTTACATCTTGACCCTTAATAATAATTTTATAAAAAAACGAATAAAGAAAAAAAAAACAAAAAACAAAAAAAAAAAAAAAAAAAGCGCGGAAGTCTAGAACATTGTGGAAGTGACGATCCTTTTGTTTTGCTTCCCAAATTACCCTTCAGTCGGTGCCAAAAGGGTGAGCTCAGTCCTCGCGGTTATACATTTGTAAATGTGTGGATATAATATCGCATGTACGTATATTTGAATCTCTCTTTCTGAAATTCGCAAACCACAGCTAAAGTTAAAATTGAGTAAAAATGGCGAGGCCCGATCGAGAAGCCATTGTTGACACTTTCATGAGCATTACCGGCGTTGATGAAGCCGTCGCTATTCAGAAACTCGAGGTATATTCTCAACTGTATTTCCGTGATCGTAATTTTGTGGTTGTTGCTTTTGTTCTTTGTTATTTTAGTTGTGAATTACTATTTCCGGCTTCTTTTTTCCTTGGGTTAATGTTGTTTTTAGTTCAATTAATTCTGAATCGGAGGTGTTTCTTTGATTGTAAACCTGTTCTTGTTGGGAAAACTAGGGTTCTTGTTTCGATTTTCTGTTACGGAATTGAATTATGTCTTAACTCTTTGGTTTGTTGATAAATCCACTTGTTCATTTGATGTTGAAGCTTTACTAACTCTATAATCTATAATTATTTGAAATCCATTGTATTGATCATGTTATTTTTTTTTCTTAATTCAGTCGAAACTCTAGTGCTTCTTATATTTCTGATGCGGCTGTGAACTTCGGTATCATTGATGGCTTTTAAGAAAGTAAATGCCGTGAAAGAGGGTTCGAAATTGATGATGTGAACATTAAGCTAGGAGATTACGGATTGGTTTTAGATCACTATTTGCAATTCGCCATTTGTTACTGTATGAAACTATCGTGCTTCGTTTGGGGTGATTACTTCGTGCGTTGATAGTGGTGCTTGGTAATCTGATTAGTGATGACACTATTTACGGCACTAAAGAAACAGAGGGGATAGGGAGTATCAATTATATCTTTGAAAATATCTTTGCACGTACTGTGTTAGTTCACTAGGAACTATGACGTTGGATTCAAATATATAGCACCTTTTCAAGAAGAAAAGGTAAGAGGCAAATGAACTAACATACAATGATCCTAGAAAATTTCCATTCAAATTATTTCTCCAAACGACCTTGTGCTCGATGGAAAGCCTACTTCGTAGCTTACTATTGTATGTTGAAAGTGTGAGAATAAATTGCGTTAGAAGATTCATATGATAGGGACTCTGGAAAAATTGATCTATTGTGCTCGAGTTTTTATGAGTAATTATTTTATTTCCTTAGAGCATACACAGACCCGTTTATTGCGGATCAAAGTACCTTTTTAAGGGATTGCTTACTCTAGCCATCTAGTCGAGTTGGTAATTTTACTTCTTCCCTCGGCTCAAGTATCATATATGCCCTCAAATTAAAAGGCCTTGAAGACTAGAAGAAATTCAACTTGATCCAAAGATATGCTGTGAACACCTTCCAAAGATATGCTGTGAACACCTAGGAAAAAAGGATTCGTCTAGCTGCCTCGGGTCCAACGTGCATGATAAATGTTCACTATTATGTGAGAAAGATATTCTGGTATTCAGTTTGGCGAGTGTGGTATAAAATGTTCGTTTCTCTTTTTAGCTGGTGAAAGGTGTTTAACATATTTAGTTTATGAACTCTATTGTCTGTCACTATTAGGATTATTCAGCTGCTATTTTAGAGCTTTGAAGAGTTGGATTGATGAATTTTGTAAACTAGAATTAGGCGACCTTTCTTTCTAGGTTCTGTCCTTATTCTGAATAGCTCTATATCTTCGGTTTGCAGGAACATTTTGGCGACCTCAATGAAGCTGTTAATGCACATTTCAATGAAGCCGATACAAGCATGTTAGTGTCTACCATTTTTTTTATATCGCTCTCTAATTATCGTTCTGAAAATTAAATAACTACTGTTAGGTCTTATAAAGTTGTACCTTATCACTGTCACCTATATTTTTGCTTCTATTCATGTAGAACTCAAGAGGCATCTTTTACCTCGATTCGGGATCATGGCATGGATATAGACGATCCTTTACCAGCCCAGTCGCATAGACCAACTTCTTCCTTCTTACCCTTTGCTAGAGATTTCAATCCTTTCTCCATGCTTGACCCTAACTGCACAAGAAGTATATTTGATATTGGTAATTCTGCAACTCGCTCGCCTTTTGTTTCACATCCAAGAGAGGTGGAGATACCAATTGAGGTGAAAGACGGGATTGGAGATTCTAGTGGTGCTCCCACTATTGAAGATGTCACTGAAACTGTGCATCAACCTGGCCCTGTAATACGTGGAACGGTCATAATGGACGATGAAGATGATGATGTGGCTGACTATGGCAATGATATAGAAGAAGAAATGATACGAGCTGCCATTGAAGCTTCCAAGCTGGATGCATCCATGTCAAATCAACTAGATAGTGATATTCTTGTACGTAATTATCCACAAAGTACAATTTGCTATCATCATTAGACTTTATGAACTTTTGATTATTGGGCTTTATGATTTTTTTATCAGTATTGCCATTTTCATTCTGATTCAGGATGTGAGAGATTCCGCTCCTCAGCCAATAAATTCTCTCCCGGAAGATGATGAGCTCGCACATGCTGTTTCCCTGTCATTGCAGGTTTGCTCTTCTTCTGGTTTGCAATATTTTCAATCACAATAAGTGCTCCAGTTAACAGGAAGTGTGTGCATTAGAGTGTGTGCATAAATCAAACTCCTCGATTTATGGCTAATTCCGAGAATTACAGCAGTTTTCAAATATATGTCAAAAAGATTTATTTTCTCACATAAAAGCAGTAGCACTTGCATGACATAGCCCTTAAGCTGGAAGCTCGGAGAAATTTGATGAGCATTTGATAAGATATTTTCTCTCTTGGCTTTCTTGCTGGTCTCAAAATGTACAACCAAGTTGTAATTTTAGAGAAAAAATGGGCACAACCATCTGTTATTAAATTTTTGAGTTTTTTCGGAGGCGTTCACTAGTGCTTGTATAATATTATAAATATTTCACTGCAAACTATATGATGCTCTTAGAATTATTTACTTTTGTCCGTAGGTTAAGTTTTTTTATTTGTATTTTTGTCCAGGAAAATCAGAGACAGTTAGCAGCCAAAGAAGCTTCCCTTCCTCAGGAACCAACAGCAGATGATGAGAATGCTGTTACACTCCTTCTGCGGATGCCTGATGGAAATAAGTGTGAACGAAGGTTTCTTAAGTCAGACAAGTTGCAGGTAATCTATGCCTGATATTTTTTTTCCATGTATATTGAAATCATTGTATATTCCAGCCTTAAATTTTGACACACTTCAAAGAACTTTTTTCAGTTCAAAATTTGATTTTATAACTAACCTAGGAGCCTGTACTGTAATTTTCCTTTTTACCAGATCAAATTTAGTTAAAAAAAATGAAAATAGGACTTGTGTAATAGCTTAGTAATAAGAAAAGGAACAGAAAAGGTCATTTAAGGTTTGTGTCCTCCAAGTCGTTCGTATTTGTCACCACTACTTTTTTTTTTAAATTCTCGTATTTATATTTCTGTAACTAATTCATTTTCCAAAAATGTGTACTCTTGGCTGAAGTTATTTACTTCCATTAGAATTACTCGACTGGACCATGTTTAAATATATTTGATGGAATGTAATATAGTAAAATTACCTGACGAGAGTAATAAATAACATGATGGATTATTCTTACTTTAGTCGTCTTTGGAAATGTTGTGCACTTATGTCTATGTTATGCGAGTTTTTTTCATTTATCGTCTGATGTCTGGTACTGTGCTACTTAGGTGGCAAAGGATTGATTTACCATTATTCAATAATTTGTTAGCTCATATCACATGCTTTACGTTTTTTTGTTTTTTCAGTGTCTATTTGACTTCATTGACGTTGGCAGAGTGGTCAAACCTGGGAGTTACAGATTGGTAAAACTTTTATCTCACTCTTCTTATTGGTCAAATCTTATGCTATACCATGTGTACTGCAAGCGTATAGCCTGGAATAAGCCCTTCTTGAAGCAAAATTCGATTCTGAGATTAGAATATTTTATAAATGTGTTAATCGGTTTCATGTTGTGATTTTTTTTTTTTATAAATGTTTTTTTTTTCGTCTTATTTTTAGGTGAGGCATTATCCTCGGCGTGTTTTTAGCGATGAAGAGAGCACATCAACTCTCCATGAATTGGGTCTAACCAGCAAATACGAAGCCTTGCATCTGGAGTTGATATAGTTCGCATATGCTATCTTTGTTAAACATGACCACGATTTTGAAAGCGTAATTAGTCTGGGGGATGGGTGGTGGTTCAGGATCGATTTTCGTTATCCGTATGGGGATTGGTATTCTGGATTGCTTAGATATTAGTATTACGTCAAAAAAAAATATCGGATTCAGTTCTTTTGTATGAAATTTGTGATTAGGTTGTTTAAATTTACTATTCAAATTGTCCGTTTGTGATTCATGAAACTATGAAACTTAAATGGCTTATACTGCATGGGTTTGATCACGATTCACAGACCGATTCATGGTCATCGATTAACCAATCTGTGGTTGTATCTAACTGTAGCTAACTTAAATTTTGCCTTAGTATATACATTACACATAATTTAGAAGGTAAAACAGTGGTCTTAGTAATACGTACATCCGAAATAGTTCAACTCCGAATTTCTTCAATTTATATAAACGAAATTGATGCCATGGCCGTTAATCTGGTAGCTGAGTTCGTCGCCCTAATCAGGTAACTGTTCTATTTTATCTCCATTTTTTTTTATAATAAACACGTGAGGGGTCTCACAATTCATAATGTTAATTTTAGATTTCTTTACAAATAGTGAATATTATTAAAATGGGCCTAGACTCTATTATTTTGTGTATTTAATATAGTATATATATGTGAAAATATAAAAAAGCAAAATTGAGGTCAATGCCCCAAAATTCTAATCAAAGAATATATTTCAAAGTAATGGAACTATGTCTTTATCTATATTTTGTCCCTCATGAAATTAATAAGGGTAAATTACGATCACCCATGAGCTAAGATCGAATTACAGTAAAAAAAGAAAAAAAAAAAAAAAGAAGAACTCTTATCTTATGTTTGGATAATTACAGTAATCTCATCAAGTATGAATCTTCTTACATGTCCACCCTTATGGTCTCAAATTTAACAGGATTTTCTAGATTATGTGGAATATTTTCTAGTTTGTACTCGTTCTGAGCAAAGATGCAGTTTATGATACACCACAATCTAATATTTACAAGCCAAGAGGCGCACTTTATGATCATCTTTTCTAAAAATGTGGAGCTCGAATGGGGTAAAATATGTATAAACTGAAGAATATTCCACATAATCTAAAAAATTCCATTAAATTTGACACCGCGGGGATGAAAGTGTAAGAATATTCATAGTTGATGGGGCGATTGTAATTATCCAAATATGAGGGGGTTTTTCGTAATTTAAACTTATCTCAGGGGCTGACCGTAATTTACCCAATTAATAATAATTAAATTTCGATACAAATTTAACCAAGGCTGAGAAGAGAGACAGTTAATAATGATATTAACCGTACGGAAATTATCACACACAAAACCAAGAAAAAAAACAATGATGTTAAAACCAACGGTCGAAAAAGAAAAGCGGGGGAAGGAGACATACACGTGCGTTCCACGTGGCTTCACCAGACTTCTCGCAAAAAAAAAAAAAAAAAAAAAGAAAACCACCTCCCTCCCTCCAACGGTCATATTTCACCGACAGGGCCCAAACATAACGGTCACATTTCCTCCCTCCCTCCATTCTCCACCGTCCGATTCTAATCCAACGCCCACAAACCCTAACCCTCATAACCCACTTCACTTTTTTAACCGAGCCACCAATTTTTTTCACTCAGTATATAAAAACTCGGCCGCACTTTGTTTTGTAGCTTTTTGGGTAGTGGGTTTTTTTATAAGTTATTAATTTTACATGATTTAGGAGAAGAAAAATATGGTAGCTAATTTTTTTGTTTGTGTTTTTCTTCCTGCATGATTGAAGGGTGTTTTTGATCTGATTTCTTTTAGTTGGGGGTGGGTTTCGAATTTATTTTATAGTATGGAAGGTGTGATGAAGAAGAATATGCATGTATACCTTGATTGTGTGTTTTACAGCTTCGGTTTTGAGCAAAGATGCAAAATTTGCAGAAGCTTCTTCTTACCTGGTTTGATGATCAACAATGGCGGCGTCTCTTCTTGCATATTGATTAATTGTGTCTGAAAAGTTGAGGAATCCGATGGTTTTTTTTGTTTAGGTAGGTGTGTTTTGATTCAATTCAAATTCTTTCATTCTTTTATTTTATTTTATTCTATTCTGTCTGAATATTTGTTTTTTTATTTGTATGATTCATTAATATTCTTTGTTGGACATAACATAAGCTTTCTCTCTCTCTCTCTCTATACATACATACATACATACATACATAATACATATCATCATCATATAGGACACACACACGCACACACGCACACACACACACACACACACACACACACACACACACACACACACACACATTTGTTTCTGACATCGGATTCCAATTTTTTGTTTCTTGTTTTTTTCTGATTTCTTGAAACTCTCACACACACTCACTATAGAAAAAAAGCACACATTGTTCTTGCAAGACACGATTTTTATTTCTCAGTGTTAGAAAAAAATACACGTCATCATAGTTTTTTTCTAAAAAAAAGGGGTGCTGGGGTGTAGTGTAGTGTAGAATTGGAGTTTTAATTTACAGAAAAAAAAAAAAGAAAGAAAAAAAAAAAAAGGAAATTGGTAAAGGAGAAGTGAAGAATGTTGGCTGGTTGTCCTTCTACATTGCTGTCACCGAGACATAGATTAAGGAGTGAAGCTTGCCATCACAGTATTCCCACAATGAGCACTCAGAGATTGGATTTACCTTGTACTACTTTCCCTCGTAAAGATTCTTCGCGGGCCCCACCCGTTCGGCCCGTCGGCCTTTCCGTCGAGAAGCCCGTCGAAGCGAAGACTGTTGTCACCGGTTGTTCCATTAAGCTTCGAGACAACAGAGACGATTTCTGGGAGAAGAACAAGAATCAGAACAAGAAGAAGAAGAGGTTTGCCGCGGAAGTGTCGTACGAAGACGACGACGATTTGGACAAGAACTACATGGACAGAGTGAAGAGGAAGAGATGTAATAACAATAATGCAGGAGAAGAAGAGCAGCATCAGCAGCAGCAGCATTTGAGTTTAGGTAGCGAGAGCTTTTGGTTCCATCCCGGTTTTATTAGTACGCCTCAATTGCCGTTCTCTATTTCGTGTTCGGCGGCGCAAGAAGACGAAGACGAGAATCGAGTGTGTTTTGTGCCGAGCGATGTCATACTAGCACCGCCCCCTTTGCCCCCGTTGTCGAACATTCCGTGGTTCCAATGCAAGAAGAATTTCGAGGGAGGCCCGACGTACAAGAAGGAAGCTTCCGGATCATCGTCGTCGACGAGTCTTTCATCCGAGAGCGATCGTGGTTTGGTTCTTAGCAATCCAGTGGGGCGCGTTATCGGCAATGGATCGTCTCCTTCGGGCCCGAGTGGGGCCCGCTCTCAACAAGTTTTGGCTGCTAATCAAGAAAACAGCAACACGGAGGAAAACGAGTGTGTCGAGCTAATCGACTTGCTCGTGACTTGCACCGAGCAAATGGGGTCAAAGAACATCGCCTCGGTCAACCATTGCCTCGCTCGACTAGGTGCAATCGCCTCCCCGCGTGGGCCCACGCCTACTCACCGTCTAGTCGCCTACTTCACCGAGGCCTTATCCTTAAGAGCTGCCAGACTGTGGCCCCACATCTTCCACGTCACTGCTCCCCGGGAGGAAGAAGATGGCGGCACCACCGCGTTGAGGGCGTTGAACCAAGTCAGCCCGATTCCGAAATTCGTCCACTTCACATCGAATGAGATTCTGTTGAGGGCGTTCGAGGGAAAAGACAGAGTCCACATCATCGATTTCGACGTAAAGCAAGGGTTACAATGGCCTAGCTTATTCCAAAGCCTAGCTTCTAGAAGAAATCCACCTAGCCATGTAAGAATCACGGGAGTTGGAGAATCGAAGCAAGAGCTTATCGAAACGGGAGATAGGCTATCGGGATTTGCAGATGCTTTGAATATTCCGTTCGAGTTCCATCCGGTCGTTGATCGATTGGAAGATGTACGGCTGTGGATGCTCCACGTAAAAGAGAAGAAAGAAACCGTCGCCGTAAACTGCCTATTTCAGCTCCACAAGATGCTATACGACACCACCACCACCGCCGCAGGAGGCGGTGGTGGTGCCGCCTTGAGAGACTTCTTGAGTTTGATCAGGAGCACAAACGCCGAAGCAGTGGTTATAGCCGAGCAAGAGGGGGCCCACAACGGGGTCGACTTGGAATCTAGGGTTTCGAATTCTTTAAAATACTATTCGGCTATTTTCGACTCGGTCGATCCGAGCCTTCCGTTGGAGAGCAAAGCGAGGATCAAGATCGAGGAAATGTTCGGGAAAGAGATAAGGAACATTGTTGCTTGCGAGGGAAGGGAGAGGGTCGAGAGGCACGAGGGGTTCGACAGGTGGCGCGAGATGATCGGACGAGAGGGGTTCCGGTGCACGGGGATCGAGGAGAGGGAGGTGCTTCAAGGGCAGATGATGCTGAAGATGACGTACGGCGGAGACAACTATAGTGTCGCGACGAGAGACGAAAACGGAGCGGCTTCGGTTAGTTTGAGTTGGTTGGATCAGCCTTTGTATACGGTTTCGGCTTGGAAGGCGGTTGATTTCGAGGGAGGTTCGTCTTCGTCTTATTCTCGGATTGGTTGATTTTGGAACCGCACATTCGACATTCGATATTCGGTTCGTTTTTTTAATTTTTTTTAAATATATATATACGTAGTACACGATTTTTTTTTTCCCGGTTATTACGGAGGGTATTTTAGTCATTCTTTGTAGGTGTAGAGGAATTTGTTTTTATGATTCATTATTCTTTCATTGATAGATATATGATATGATGCAGATAATTAAGTGTTTGTATTGAGGTAGAATTCTTTATTGTATTCTTTGATTCTTTTATGTAAGAAGTCATGTTTCAAGATTCAATTTTTATATGGTACACTTCTACTTCTGGTCTGAATAATAATATTGCTCGAGTATTTTTGTTTATGGTTTGTCCTCCTTTTTTTGGATCAATTTACTGCACTTTTTATTGCATTTTTCAACAAGTTGTAATTTTTTATGTTACGCTACGTGGCACGGACACGAAAACGGCGATTACGGGGTAACGGGAAATGGCAAGGGAACTTGGGAGAAATGTGTAAATATTAAAAGTATATGGGTATATTTATAAATATACTAAGGAAACGTATTTAAGATTTTATTTATTTATAAATTATTTTTATATATTTGCATACAAATATATTCAAAATAAATATTATTATCAACTATCAATTTGGAATTGCTAATTATAAATCATGTGAATAATTAGGTAATTAACAAAAAATATTTAGAAATTTGTTATTCAAACATGTTTCTAGTTTTTCAGAAATTGCAAAATGATCTATAAGGTGTTCGGCAGGTGTCTTCCAGTGTTGGGACACGTTTCATGTCCTGAACGTGAATACGTTAAGAAGTTGGAGTTTTCGTGCTACATACATGTTATGTCGAGAATTATGAAGGATGGCATTTTTGTAATTTAGTGAGAAATGAATTTACAATTTAATTGTTGCACCAAACAAATATTGTTGGAGTTTATGTAAAGTTAGGCCTAAAAATCTGGATTTGGAGAAAAGCCCAAGAGGCTGCTTAGTTTCCAATTTAGTCCCTCAATATTTAAATCCTAGAAAATCATTTTAGTTTTGGGTTTAAGTAAGGGAAAAATACATTTCCACCCCTCAAGTTTGCACCAATTTCATATTTGGTTCATCATGTTCGTTTAATACATATTTGGTCCCCTATGTTTTAAAAATTCAACACTTTTAGTCATTTTCTTCAAATTTCCGTTAAAAAAAACGGAATCAAACGTGTATCCATCAATATCGTAGCTGACGTACAAACTGTAAATTGATAAAAATGACCAAAAATGTCAAATTATTAAAACATGAGAGACCAAATGTGTTCTTTTATGAACATAGGGGACCAAATATGAAATCTTTGCAAACTTAAGGGATGAATACTGTAAATTTACTGTTACTTAATAACTAGTTAAAAAAACTAATACAATACTCTGCAGATTGACATTTAAATTAGGGATTAATTGCATTTAGCACCAATGTGTTTATTCAAATTGAGTAGTTTTTAAAACAATCCCAATATAATATGAAAATACGAAATGTAAATAGCTCTAAGATATTTTTATGGCACTAACATTCGTATTTCACTTGGACATGAAAACATGGGGTGGGCACAAAATAAACCAATTAATTTATTTTATTTGCCATTTTGTTTCCTAATAATAATAATAATAATAATAATAATAATAATAATAATAATAATAATAATATCTGAAGTATTAGTCTTACCTGGCTATCGTTCAGCCACGGAATTAAAGACGTTTCAAAATTAGATGCACTGCTTTTAGTGCATTAGGTATTAAGCAACCGGTACCCGCTCCGTACTCGTTGTGGGTTGAAATTATAGAACCCGTCCCCGATCCATTTTATATGCTGATATGATATTTGATTATTTTTTAAAAATAAAATTAAGTGTAATAAAACATTTTAAAGAAACATATTTATGGAATTTTCTAGTTTTGCCCCATTAATTATACGGTTCTACCCCTGCCCACAGGTGATATATTCAGCCGGAAATTGCACTAGGGTGCACTTTGCCAATAAAATATAAATTGAAGGGTGAATTTCGCTATTATTTTAGTTTAAGGGCGCATCGTGCCAATGAGGTGTAATTTGAGGGTGCAAAATGCCAATTACCCTTAAAAATTTTAAAAATAAATTGTTGAGAGAGTTTTCTTTTTTTTTTTTTTAAAAAAAAGTACATTTATCCTTTATTTTAATTTAAGATCTTATAATGAGTGAAAATAGCTTATAAACTCATTTTTCAAATACTTAAAAAAATATTTCTGAAAATAGTATGTGACAACTTTTCAACTCTTAAAACAACTTATCAAACATAAGAGTTTAACAGCTGTTTAAAATAAATTTAGTCAAATGAATTCTTAAAATTACAAATATTGACCACTTTTATTTTAAAATCAGATTATGGATATACAACTATAGTCTTCTTTTTGTGGTGTCGAGTATAATCAATTGAGCAAATTACAATCATCCACAAGATAAGGTCAAATTACGAAAAAAAAAATTTATTTGCATAATTATAGTCACAACTCACCCCTTCCTTATGTATTGTCTTACGAAACCCCTAGAGGTGTACATTTGGTAAAATCGTACCGAAATTTCGGTATTCCAAATTCCCATACCATTTATCGTACGGTTCGGTAAATAACGGAATTATCAAAATTTTATTAAAAATATTTAAAATTTTAATTTTTTAAAATTAATTTTAGTTTAAATACTAATATTTCTATATATATAACTGAATATCGAACCGAATTACCGGTTCAATAATCGGCATGTACCAATTTTTCGTTCGGTTCAGTTCGGTCAGTTTATCGACCGGAAGAACACCCCCATGTAAATTTAACAACGACGGAATGAACGTGTAAGGAAATACATAATTGAGTGGTTGACTGTAATTACGTAAACGAGATGATTTTTTTTGTTTTTTTTAATAATTTAACCTTATATCAGAGAGCGATGGTAATTAACCCTAATCAGTTTAACTTTAACTACCTACCATATATCCTTTTCAATTTGGATTTTATTAATAATTAATGTCGGCGGGATGATTTAGTAATTTGACAGAATAAATGATTAGGACAATGGATACATACAAGTTTATCAATGTCCCACATATTCTTTATCAAATGATTATGAATAAGAGATCATTTATAAGCTGTCATGTTTTGTACTTATCAATCATAGTATTATTGTACCATCTCTCTATTTCTTTTTTCTTTTTTCTTTTATTCATCTAACATTTTAATTTGATAAATTAGTTAAATTATCATTATGCGTATCAATCATCTAATAACTTATAATGGTTAGCTATAAATACATAAATAGGCAAAAATATAATATATTTATTGGAAAATATATATATGTGTGTGTTGCGTGTAATATAGTTGAAACAAATCGAATTAAATCTAGTTGAAACATTATAAATCTAGTTGAAACAAATCGGATCGGATCAAGTGAATTATTTTTTAAACTGGATCCATGTGGATCCACTTTAGATTCCTTGAAAGTTCAACTAAAAATGAAGTGGGTCATATTGGATCCAACCAAAACCAAATTAAATACTAAAATAATTTTCTAAAAAAAAAAGGTCAAATATTTTTTTAATTGTAAATTTAATAGATCAAAAAATTTCAGCCCTAATGTGTGTGTGTGTGTGAAAAATGTCTTGGATTGTGTGTGAAAAGTATGCGTGTGTGTGTGTGTGTGAAAATTGTGTATGTGCATGTCAGTGTGTGTGCATGTGTGTGTACAAAAGTGTGTGTGTGTGTGTAAAATGAGTGTATGTGTGTGTAAAATGTATGTATGTGTATGTGAGTGTGTCTGTGTGTGTAAAAAGTGTGTACGTGTATGTGAGTGTGTGTGTGTAAAAAGTGTGTATGTGTGTGTAAAATGTATGTATGTGTATGTGAGTGTGTCTGTGTGTGTAAAAAGTGTGTACGTGTATGTGAGTGTGCATGTGTGTGAAATGTGTGTGTGAAAAGTGTGTGAATATTATGTGTAAGTGTGAAAGTTGAGATATTAAACCACATAAATTGAGATATTAAACCATAAGTTGAATTAAAGATGGAATGAATCCATGTGGATCTAATCCGAATCGGTCTAAATTCGATCCACATTAAATCCATTCATAGAGGTTGATTTTGGATCCGGTTCTATTTGTATCCGATCCACATGGATCCGGATCGGATCCGGTCCAAGTTGCGAAATTACCACCCCTAATTACCATTTAATATAAGACCATAATTAATTATCATAATCTTTTGCATTCCCCTAATCAATAATTAGAGGCATACCAATTGATTATATAATTTAAAAGAAAAAAGTTAAGAGTCATACCATGTGCCACGTGGTAGCCACTTAGCGGTTTTTGGTTTACACATTTTTTCTGACTCATCCACACGTTAGATACTCATTGCATATATCTTACTCAGCGTACTAAAAATCGGTCGACTCAGCGGATTAATCGGTTTTTGAGATAGAGACGGTCCAATATCTTTATGATTGTGATGTAATTTTCGAAACATCGAATTTTGGTATGCAGGCGTTTTGAGGCGGTTTGAGACAGTTAAATTCTGGAGGCGGGTCAAACTTTAGTGACAAACATCGATAAAAAATTAGTTTCAAATCTATATATTTTTTTAATTAAAAAAAAAAAAAGAAATTGGGAATATTATATTCTATGCTTTGTCTTGTTTATGTTAATTGCTATATTTAAAGAATCTAATGATATATGCTTACGGGTTTCATACATATTTTATAATGCAAAAAAAATGCATTTTATTTGTATTTTGTAAGGATGTTTATATTATTATTATTATTATTATTATTATTATTATTATTATTATTATGGGGATAGAAGCATGTTAAATATGTTTTATATATGCATGTTTTGAGTTTCCAAACAAAATATATATATATATATATATATATATATATATATATATATATATATATATATATATATATATGCATGCATGCGTTTCAATTTATCTGTCACTTTTGAGAAATTTTTTATTCCATATTATATGTCGTTTTATAATTCCATATTCCAATGATGCATTAATTAAATATTTTCCACCGATACCCCTAATACAAACTACCCACACTGTTAATAAATATCAAGACACATTCCAATTCTCTCCTTTTGTCTCTTAACTTTCCCCCGCTCTCTCTCTCTATTATTAATTGTAAATATCTCGGATTTTTATTTATTATTTATTTTATTTTCCAACACACTCCTCCACTATATTAGAATAATTAAATTACTGTAATCCAAAACTTATCCAAACTCTTGCAACATTATTTTAAGATAACTATTTTCCATAGTGGTTATTTGAAGATCAACACATACTACGTGGCATCGAGTTGATATTAATTAGTTAATTAATTAATTTATCAAAAAAAAAGAAAAAGACAAATTAATATATATGTATATTTATATGTGGTGTGTATAAATTATGATGTGTGCATGTGATTTGAATACTTTTGTTAGCTTTTGAGAGCTGTCAAACCTCAAACCGAAAGTTAGGCACATAATTTTGTCTATACAAAAGAAAAGAATAAGTGCACTTATATATCTTTATTAACTTTAATTTGTTCTTTGTATTATTAATATTATATTTTACCATTTAATAATTGACCCCTGCCTCTTTGAAAATAAAATAAATTTAATTTAATAATTGGCACTTGCCTAGTAATTTCAATATTAATGTGGGTTATTGAATTATTACAACTTTTTTTCACAAATGAATGAATTTTTCGGTATGTCATAAAGTTGGTTTTACCGACTGATGACGCGTCTTATTCCTTAATTAAACTAAAGGAAATTCATCTCATATTAATTTAATGGCAAAAGGTTTTCGGGACAAATTACGGTCGTCTCTGAGTTATGGTTAGATTACAAAACCTCCATCCTGTTTAGATAATTACAGTCACCCCGTAATTATGTATTATCTTACGAAAATATTCATGCAATGGTAAATTTATTGGATGTTCAATCGTTAAAATCGAACATAAATTTCGGTATGCCAACATTTGATACCGTTTACCGAACTGAATATAAGATTTGGTTCGGTAAATAACCCACTTACATAAATTTTATGTAAAAATGTTTAAAAGAAAAGGGCGGCTGTAATTACCCAAACAACACGCGACATCATCTGATTTTAGCATTTTAGGGTAATCGCCGGAGAATTCCCTGACCTCTCACATAGTGTTTTGCAGATTAAGAGAACATGTATATTCTTTCAGCCAACGAGAGATCGTGGCATTAACCCCGCATTCCCAATCAACTCTTCAGCTCGACTCTCGAGTTACCAATCTTGATTGATCCCGCATCATCAGCATCTCTTAGTTACTATTGGAGTAATGATAATCAAACTTTGAATATTGCATCTTGAATGGAGAAATTTGATAATATTTTTTTTTATTGCAATTACTTATTGATTTATCAATAATAGATATAAACTACAATATTCTATAAATTAATATAAACAGACTAGAAAAATTCTAGTAATTTAGCAAGTTTTTACCAAGTAGGGATCGAAAGAATTTATTATTTAAGCGAACTTATTAATTTATCGAGTATTTAAACTTTTCCAAATCAATTTAGATTACGTTCACACTAAAACAAGAAAAGCCTGTTGAAACAGGTAAATGAGCCGAAGGAAAAAAATATCAGTCAACGAGGACAAAATCGTCATTTTGAATTCCAACAATGATCTATATTTAGGTTTAGTTAATTATCCCCTAATCTCCCCTTAATCTCATTTCCTTTCATAAAAAAAAAAAACACACACACACACACAGTGTAAGAAACAAGGACACACGCGCCCGTACGCGTCCAGTACCCACGCCCACCTATATATACCCGTCAAACTGGCAATTCTCTTTCCCCAAATTCTCTCTCTCTGTATCGATATCTCTCTCTAAATCGGCATTAATCTGTATGCAAAACCCACCCACCTTCCATTTTTTTCCCACCTATCCTCTTTCAGGAAACCCCCACCAGATTCATCGGTTCTCTCTCGTAATATGGGCTCATCGTTCTCGTCTTCGTCTCCGATCGAAAGCTCCGCCGGCGCCGCATCGCCGGAGACCGGGTTGGGGGATTTGCCGGAGAGCTGCGTCGCGTCGGTGCTGGTCTACCTGGACCCGCCCCAGATCTGCCGGATGGCGATGATGAACCGGGCTTTTAGGGGCGCGTCGTCTGCCGATTTCGTTTGGGAGTCGAAGCTGCCGTTGAATTATGGAGATGTAATTGAGAGAGTATCGGAGGAAAACGATGGTTTTGTTGAGGGTTTGTGCAAAAGGGATATTTATTCCAGGCTTTGTACCCCTAATTCGTTTGATGCTGGCACCAAGGTTCGATCTCTTATTACCTACCCCTTTTGCGCTAATCGAAATTTCTCTCAGTTGTGCGTATTTTAGGTTGGATTTTGGGGATAATTGGACCCTATTATTGAGTACAATAACAATTAGGGTTTGTTAAATTGGAATTTGTTTTTCTTGAAAATGCTGAAGAAGAAAAAATTAGGGTTTTGTTAAATTTTCTTTGGCAGGAAAATTGAAAATAAATGAAAAAATGTCCCTTATTTTGATTTTTTTTTCCTAGGAGAGAGGGTTTAGAGAAAATTGTATATAGTTGTTAATGGAGATCTTTTGTTTTATGTGCAGAAAGTTTGGTTGGATAAGAGCACGGGCAAGACTTGTATGTTAGTATCATCAAACGGATTAGCGATAACTGGGATTGATGACAGGAGATATTGGAGCCGCATTCCAACCGAAGAATCGAGGTGAGGATTTCAGACTTTCGATTTCTGTTCCTTCAAGAAAATCAAGTTGAGGCTGTTTTGGTTGTGTTCGTGTGCATGTTAATAAATTAGGGGCTCAAAATACAACTATTTCCAAAAAAAGTTCGAATAGCGTTTCTTGTCATTCAAATTACGGCATGTTGGCATTATTTTTGGCCGATATTTGCTTCTGTGAGACATTATTATGAACTCTTAGATATATACATAAAGGGTTTATTGCTGTATGCAGAATAAAAACTTAAAATACCTATATAAGCTGCTAAATTTTAAGTTTACCTATTTGATTTCAATTTACATTGCTAATCTGTAAGGCCTTACGGCCTTAGTGACTGAAATTCCGCGACCCTAAACGGCCGATTCGAGCCTGAAAAATATGAATTCTTGAACCCGACAGCCTGTTTTTTAATTCTTCCGTGTACTTCATTTGATGAGAAGTCGACTAATAGTATTAATAGGTTGGAAGGAGAAGCACACATAAAAATGATTCGATTTAAGATCTGGAGAAAGCCCTGCCGACTATACAAAATATCTCTTCTAAAACCATAATGAAGTTACATTCAACTTTGTGTTTAGTCACTTCCTATGTGATCTACCTTTTTCTACATTGATCTTCAGTTTTCATTTATCTTACAAAATGCAAACATTATTTTACTAAATTCGGTTCTCCGGTGTAGGTTCAACTCCATCGCATATCTCCAGCAAATATGGTGGTTCGAGGTGGACGGGGAAATCGAGTTCCCGTTTCCAGCCGGGTCGTACAGTCTATATTTCCGATTGCAGTTAGGCCGGGCCCACAAGAGATTTGGTAGAAGGGTTTGCAATTCGGAGCATGTCCACGGTTGGGATAGGAAGCCCGTTCGATTTGAGGTGTTGACTTCGGACGGTCAACAGGCCACGAAGCAGTGTTACTTGAAGGAACATGGGAGGTGGATTCATTACCATGCCGGAGATTTTGTTGTAGCTAATACTTGCAGATCAATTAAAGTCAAATTTTCGATGACGCAAATTGACTGCACGCACACGAAGGGTGGCCTTTGTGTAGATTCTGTACTGATATATCCTGCCGAGTGTAGAGAGAGGTTGCAGCATTTTTAATTGTGATCCCATCTCTTTTGTAGGAAAGTGTACTCGTAGTGTGTGTTTCATTAGTCGTATCGTAGATTAGGGTTATGTAGAACAGGCAAACAAAACATATTGAGCAGTAAAGAAATTATGATCAAGATTTGTGCTGATTGTTTTCGACACATGATATGTAGATACGAGTCTCTCTGACTCTCCCTCTCTCGATCGCCCTTAATATTAAAAAGGGTAAATTACAACCAACCCCCTGAGGTATGGTCAAATTACAAAAAAACCCCTCATGTTTGGGTAATTACAATCACCCCTCAACTATAAACCTTCTTACACGTCCACCCTTGCGGTTTTAAATTTTCAAATTTAGTGGAATTTTCTTGATTATATGAAAAATATTATCACTTTTATACCCGTTTTATGCCATTCAAGCTCTACATTTTAAACCAAGATGATCAAAAGATGTTTTTTTTAACTTATATTGTGGCGCATCAGAAACTGTATTCTTACACAAAATGAGTACAAACTAGAGCACATTCCACGAAATCTAAATTATTATGTTCAATTTGACACCATAAAGGTGGAGGTGTAAGAAAAAATCATAGTTGAGGGGTAGATGTAATTATCCAAACAATAGGAGTTTTTTCATAAATTGACCATACATCAAGGGTGGTTGTAATTTACCCTATTAAAAATGATCCATTATCCAAACATTACGGAGGAAGGTTCTAAATGTGAGGTAAAATTCTGGTTTCGTTTTTTCACCGAATGTTTCTCACAAATTAAAAATGTACAAAAAGTCGCAGCCAAAAAAAAAAACAAAAACGAGAGCCATCGACAAGTTTGCAGTAAAGCAAGTGCAAACTACTCGTCTCCTTGTTCGGAGGGGCGTCGATAAGGCATGTACTTTTGGTCCTTGGCAGCATTCTTCTTCCTCTTTTTCTCGATAAAAGCTTCGAGTTTGCCAGACTCCTGATGAGAAAACACATTGAAATAAAACCATATCGACAAAATGAAAACAAAATGATTGTGATAACTACGTTCATATACCTTGAGTTCATTGTATTTCTCGATAAGCTTTTGCTTCCGAATATCCGCTGCAAGAATAAAAAAAAATTAAAAATCAAGCTTATGATTTTCACAATATCTTTTGCATCATTTATCGAACTTTTCTTTTAATTTGTTTAACACCTTCTTTGACTTGCGCATCAAACAAAACTCAATACTTATGATGATTAAAAAGTGGCAAGGAGAAAACAAAATTCAATCACAGTCGTAAAACGACAGCATCCCACCAGAGACGAACTTTAAAAATCCTAAAATCTGGCAAAGTATTTGATTTATAATTAATTCTTTACATCCAATTTGTTCGTGCAACCAAAATGCAGACGGGATAAGAGTAAAAGAAAAGAGGACATTACATTTTTTGAGATAATAAGGTTGTTTCCCTTTCTTTGCAGCTTCCCTCTCTTTCTTCTTATGCTCCGCCAATATATCATTCTCCGTACGCTTAGGTGCAGCCGACTTCAACTCTTTATCCTATGATAAAATATTAAAATTATTAAAAAAATAATAATAAATAAATAAAAAATTATACAAAAATAAACAGCAGCAAATAGTCTCTTACAATCCGAGATATCTGATCCTTTAGTTCATTTACTGCTTCCGGATCTTTTACTTTCTTCATCCGTTTCTTTAGTTCCTACAGATAAAAAACCGCAACGAATGAATGCAGAGAAAAGATTGTGTAAAAACACCAAATATTACGAAAATATCTGAATATTGAACGATACCTGTTTTTCAGCAGGAAGTGTGTTCTCGTAAATAAAGTTATATCTCTTCTTGAAGCTACATTAACAGAGTATTATGTCAAATCAACGAGGAAAAAAAACCGAACATATTATTACGTTGTATTCTATAATCTTGTGTTATTACATGCACGCAAAAGAAGTTTACCCGTCGACATTGAGTTCTCCACATAATGACTCAAAACGAGGGTCCCTAACCACCTGAAAAGACAAAGTATACAAAAACTTTAACCAACCGTAATTGTTACAAATGAGCGAACAACAAAAGTCAATAACACATGTCGATTGTTTGTACCAACAAACGTAATTCTTATCCAGGTAAGATGTTACACAAAGTAAGAGTGCATCCAATTTACATATCGACGGAACGTATTTTTGTGAGTGAAGACTACTTGAGTCGAACAAGATAGTTAAAGATTATTACAAAATTCATTCATACGTGGGAAAAGTGACTTGTTAAGAGAATAGAATCAGCAACCTTTTTTGGAACTTGAATAACTTCCCTAAATCTGCTGACAGGCTTCTTGCTACTTATCTCCATTGGCCTAAGCAAATCAAAAAAATGGAAAATCAAGAAACATTTAACGGGGAATTGGAAAAAGTAAGCAGAAGTAACAAAAACCTGTTTTATTCACTCGACCGAACAATACATTAACGGAAAATCAAGAAACATTAACGGAGAATTGGAAAAAAAGGAACCAGAAAAAAGAAAAGAAAAAGAACCTGTTTTTATTGACTCGACCGGCTTTTTTATCTGAGTTGGGTTTCTTGTAAACCATGTCAGAACCATCAGACCTTGCTCTCTGCAGCTCTTCAAATGTAACATCCTCTAGCTCCCGCTCTATTTCACCTTCCTTTACAAATCAAATCAAACCAAACCCTTTTTTAATTAGATAATTATTAAGAGAGAGAGAGAAGACAGAGATAGAGAGAGAATGGTGCAGATTTCTTACATCTTCAGACATGGATTCATGCTCATCATCGCTATCGTCGAATATAATCTTACTTGAAGTTGCAATGGGCGTCTCTAATTTCTTCATCTCCGAACAGAAAATCAAAATGTTGAGATTGTACTGAGCCAGCAATTAGGGTTTTTATTTACAATATTTAGGGGAGGAAATTCTTCTTTTATCTTATTTCTACTTGTGCCACTCGAAAATCAGGGTAATTGGCATTTTGCACCCTTAAATTACAAAAATAGTACGATGCACCCATACATAATAATTTCCTTGGCAAAGTGCACCCTAGTTCAAAAATATATTTATCTTTACTATCACAATTTTAAATGGATAAATTAATTTGTAAAATGGTAATAAATCTATAAATACAAAAATATTTATCTTTTCTATCACAATTTTAAATGGGTAAATTAATTTGCAAAATGGTAAATCTATAAATACAAAAATATTTATCTTTTCTATTACATTTTTAAATGGATCCGATGCCAATTTCTTTTTTTATTTAAAAAAAATTGTTCAATTTTAATTATGGTCAACGGTCAATAGATCTTGATCGTTCACCGTTGATTTTAAACTGGACGGGTCAACTCGGTCAAATTACCTGTTTGTCGACAAAAATGCACGAGTTAATTCGCCGAGTCACCCACTCGGGTAGACATGTCGGGTTGAACTTGGTAGTTCATGGGTTCCAATAGGGACAATTACACTTTTAATCCCTAATGATTGACCCGATTTTCCAAACTGGACGTACAAAATACACACTAAATGATTAATTTACGACACATTTGATCTACTCTGTCGCATGTTTGTTAGTAACTAACGGAAAAATGTCACGTTCAACACACATGACCCCTAATATGTCCGGATTAGGGCAAAACGAGGGAAATTTTACTTTTAGTCTCCGTCATTTCAAGATGGATAAAAAACGGATTTTTTGCACTCACCATGCCCATGTAATGTCTAATTGCCAAATTTATGTGTTAAAAAAAGGGTGTTACTATTTGCAGCGGGACTTTTACTGAAATTGGCTTATTTGTAGCGGTACATTTTTCATTTAATATTTCTTTTTTTTTTGAATTTCTCTCTCCTATTCCCAAACTCTCTCTAGAAATTTGAATTTCGTAAATTTTTTCGACTTTGAAACCGTAGCAAACGAGGCTCGATTCCGGTAAATTTTCAATATCCTACTACTTTTAATTAGTTTTATTTCCAATTTAGGTAAAAAAAAAAACACATGTTTAGGATTAGATATAGCAAAATTTCGAAAAAAAAAAATTAATTTTTGAAGCTCCCGTTTTCTGGAGCACGGAAACTCGAAGAAAATTCAAGTTTCCGTGCTCTGCAGAA